TGAGCTTAATCAACAAAGGTGGATTAATGACTAAGTTACGAGTCGAGCCAGAATTTGTAGATGAGGCTAAAAGGTTATAGAGTATAGATGACTGATTATAGACCCGAGTCAAATAGGTTCGTCAAGACGAGGCCACATGTTTTGAATTATGGGGGGAGACGTGTTGTACTTCAGGGGCTGGTTATGCATGCCCGCAAACGCTCAGTTGTATAGCAAGATACTTCATGAGATATATCACAACCTACTATCAGTCCACCCAGGTAGTAATAAGATGTATCAAAAGCTTCAAAAGTTATTATGGTGGTCGGGTATGAAAAAAGAAGTGTCAGAGTTCGTCTCTCGGTGTCTAGTGTGTTAACAAGTTAAGGTAGAACACCATGATCCCTTAGGGTTACTTCATCCCATTAAAATTCCTTAGTGGAAATAGGACAGAGTGAACATGGACTTTATGACCAGATAGAGACACAAAGTAATTTGGGTCATAGTCAACCGTTTGACCAAATCAGTTTACTTCATTCCAGTTAGGATGGATTATACACTAGAGAGGTTATCTCAATTATACATCTACGAGATAGTGAGGTTACACAGTGTATCGATTTCTATCACATTAGATAAAGACCCTAGATTCACTTTCCATTTTTGGGAAGCACTTCATAAGTCCTTAGGCACAAAACTAAGCTTTAGTATAGCTTTCCACCCTCAAACATACGACTAGTTGGAGCGTTTCATTTAGATCTTGAAGGATATGCTTAGGTTCACCTTCATAGACTTAAAGGGCAGCTGGGAGAACCACTTACCTTTAGTGGAGTTTGCGTACAACAACAGTTTTCAATCAAGCATCTAGATGGCTCCGTATGAGGCCTTGTATGAGTTAAAGTGTAGGACTCTGTTATGTTAGACAGAACTTAGTGAAGGAAAATTAGTAGGTCCAAATTTGATCATAGAAATCGAAGAGAAAGTTCGATTGATTCAGGACATGTTGAGAGAAGCTTCAGACAGGCAGATATCTTACGAAGATTTCAAACGTAGGGGCATCGAGTTCACAGTAGAGGATAAAGTGTTTCTCAAGGTTTCCCCATGGAAGAATATGCTTCGTTTTGGTTGCAAAAGATATTTGTCTTCATGTTTCATATGACCTTACAAGGTATTGGACAGAGTTAGGCAGTGGCTTACCGATTAGCCTTACCTTTAGAGCTAGAGCGCATCTATAATGTATTCCATGTGTCCATGTTTAGAAGATACCGATTTGATCCCTCTCATGTCATCCCTCTAGTGCAAGTCAAGGTCAGTCAGGACATGACCTCTGTGGAGGAGCCAATCCGAATCTTATCTAGAGAGTTTATAGAACTAAGGAACGAGAGTAGTCCCCTTGTAAAGGTACGTTGAAGGAACCATGGCATTGAGGAAGCAACTTGGAAACCGAAAAGGACATGCAACTTCAGTACCCCCACCTCTTTTATCTAGATAAATTTCGAGGACATAATTTTAATTAGGAAGAGAGAGTTGTAACATCTTTAATTCCGGTTAGAAGTCTCGAGTTAAACTGAATCAGGTTTTAGATTTAACCTAGGGCTTATAGGATGACCTTAACCCAAGTTGGGATGGTTTTGGGCTTTAGTTAGGCTCAATAGTAGTCAAAAAGGGAACCTTTTATAAAGTGATCAAATCTAGAGTGGCTAAAGATGTAATAAATCCATTTTTCTTTTAGAAGGCTAATTTTTCATTAAGGAATATGATATTACGTTGTTCCCTCCTCTTTTCACCATTCTTCCTTATATCTTCTTCATCATCTTTCATCCCTCATTTTTCCTTCCATTCATGCAACAAATGTGTTAACTTTACTAGTCAACCATCTCCATTTCGAAATCCAAAAGTAAGAATCATAACCTCTAGCTCCGTAGCTTTCAACCAAGCTCCCAATTTTTAGTTTTGGTAAAGAAAAACCAAATATGGGTTTAGTGGGGGTTTTGGAAAACCATTGTAAACCAGTCTGATATTGGGAGATTCCAACTTTTAGAAATGTTTTAAATCCTCCTATAAGCTTCCAATAACAATAGTAACTTATATGTTGTTTTTATGTTTAGTGAGAGAAGTGAGGGAAACCTCTCAAGCCAAATGAAAGGAAAAACTAGTGCTTGGTTGAGCTTATGGGAGTTTCCAGTAGTTTAATACATCAATGTAACTCACTTTAGACTCAACTATTCCATATGTAGGTCAATTAAATATGGTTAGTAGGTTGCATGAGCTAAGTGACATTTTTATGGTAGAAATCGAAATTCAGTGTTTCCAACATGTTTATAGCCTCTTTATGACCCCTTTAATCATAAATAAGACTTTAAAAACAATTGAGACCCCCAATCAGGATTTTAGAGTAGAAATATTGCATTTTTCGTACCTAAACAGAGCATTTTCGAACGAGGGTATGGTATTGAAGGAATAGTACCGATAATGTTCTTAAAACAAAGAATAAATTTAGCAGGGAGTAACGATACCCATTCATGAATTATCAATACTGTAAGATCGACATCGATACCTATGGGGTGGTATCGATACTGAGATCACTTAGCAATTACAGTAGGCAATTTTGGTATCAGCACCTAAGGTGGTATCGATACCGGGATCGATACTCTCCATAGGAGTATCGATACTTAGTAAATTATCAAAACATCAAAGCTAAAAATAGTATTGATACCAGGGGTCAGTATCGATACTTAGGGGTCAATACCGATATTGAAGTCTTAGTATCGGTACCCACGACCAATTTTGGGCAGAGAACTCGAGAATTTTAAGAGTAGGTTCTAGGGATCCCATTCATACCAAAATGCTACGAGATAAAACAATAAGTGAAAACGTTAAATTAACTCAAAATAGTAGAAACAACAATAACTAGGATAAAATAAAACTAACATTGTTTGACGCTCGGGACATAGTCAGGACACCCGAATCATTCTAGTAAATATAGTTATACAATCGGATATCTCAGTCAGTGCTAAGGCATTTACTACCAGTTGGGCGCAGATGCCCTAAGACTCGACAGAGTGAGTTGGTCGGGTGTACGTTTCTGATGTAGTTTCTGGATCTCACCCAGAATACATTCGGGTATTCAGGTATACTAGAAGGGTACGTGAGCTTCAAGATGTAGAATCCGTTAGTCGTACCATGATATCCGCCACAATATAGTAGATCAATATCTTTTGTGCCTTTACTTGTTCCATCAACTAGCATATTTATTGAATGCATATAGTATAATACAGCTTTTAGTGAGGCATTGAGCTTGCAAGCTCTACGTTCGGAATATGTTTCCGTGCACAGGTTAGGAGACCGTTCGTGGGGAGTTATCATTATCAGGCATTCCAGTGCAACATACTAGAGCATCCGAGTATTTCAGAGTATGTCTTGAGTCACTTTTAGAGGGCATGTACTGTTATAGACCCTTGTATATATAGTTATAACTCTTGATTTAAACTTAGCGTTGTATATTTTGAGTATTTTGGGAGCTCCCTGTATTTGTAAAACTTGAATACTATGCTTTTATTAATTTCAGTATAGATGGATTTTTATCAAATGGTTATAATCAGTTCAATTTTAAAATAATATTTTTTGGGTTAACCACTTAGGTGGTCCTACGTGACATAGTGATACAGTGATCTTCGGGTCAGACTGGATTAGGGTGTTACATGTATAGTATGAGACTTTCTATGGTTTTTTTTGCCGCATTGAATTTAGATAACTAAGTTGGGTGTCCATCATAAATTCCTCAACCAACAAGCTTTATGCCTATCCCCCTAAAGGAGTCTTGAACCTATTTCTTACTTAACGCTTTGGTTAGCGGATCAACAAGGTTCCTCTCTAACTTCACATACTCTAAAGAGAGTATTTTGTTCATTGCTAGATGTCTTACTAATTCGTGTCTTATACGAATGTCTCTTTTCTTACCATTGTAAGCTTGGCTATGTGCCACACATATCACGTCTTGAGAACTACACAACAAGGACATTAGAGGAGTTGGTTTTCCCCATAAAGGAATTTCTATCAATAAATTCCTTAGCCATTCGACTTCTTGCCTAGCTAGGTCGAGAGCAATGAATTCTGACTCCTTCGCAGAACGAGTAATGCACGTTTTCTTTGCAAATTTTCATGAGATCGCTACTCTACCTATTGTAAAGATGTGCCCACTCGTTGAGCTTACTTCATTGTCATTTGTAACCCAATTAGCATCATAGTAACCCTCTAGGATTACAGGATAACCAATAAACTCAAGTTTCTAGTCCATTGTACCTTTAAGGTATTTCAGTAAACGTTTGAGAGCAATCCAATGTTCATTACTAGAATTATGGGTATATATGCTTAATCTAGTGCAATGTCATTTCAATTTTCTTGAAAATATTTTTCCTAAAAGAAATTTTTTTAAATTTTCTCCAAAAAGAGAATACGCGAGCGTTACATGTCAAAAATACGTAATTAGCACGACCACGAGCCAGACAGCAACAGCGGCGCACGTGTTCGAGGGAGTTATCTAGCCATAATCAATTTGAAAGGGAAATAGTGTCCTTTTAAATATCTTCCCAAAGGTATATTTCTATCCAATGTGGGATAAATCCTTTTTTTAGTTTCTAAAGCGTTACTAACACTTATACCAAAAATCAAAAAAGGTTTTGAAGTTTAAGACTAATTGGAAAAAGATTTAAGGACTAAATTAATAAGTTGTCAAATTCAAGGACTAAGAGTTAAGTTATACCATATATGAAAATTGAAAGCATTTTAATCATGGGAGGAGCCAAGTAAAAAGGACGTGTCCGACTTTCCTTTTTACGATTGAAAAGGACAAGGACCCACTTTTATCTTTTTCTTTCCATTTTTGCCCTTTATATTTGTTAAAATGTTTTTTCTCCCCCCTTATTGTTTAAACATTTTCATTCTATTTCTCTCTGCAGTTTTCATCATCAGCATATGTAAATTACATTTCCCGTAAACGCACACCGATTCCCATTTGTCACACTTTCACAAACTCAAAATACAGAAAAATAAAATTTAGAAAAATTCAAAGAGAGAGAGAGTAGAGATTCTGGAAATCACTCTGTTCCAGTTTCTCGTTGTAATTTGTTGATTTTCTTATAAATTTTGAATTTCTGAAATCACTGCTAGTAACCGATCTTGTCATCATCTTCTCTGTTTTTTCACGGTAAATTTCTTAATTCTCTTTTATATCAGCTCTTAATCCGATATCCCTTTCTGGGTCTCTTTCTTTTTGTTTGAATTTGATTTATCTCTGGGTTTTATATTTAGTTTTCTATGTTAGTATTTCTGGGTATCTTTGTTTGCATAAGATCTTCTGTTTTCTTTTTACTGAATCTATTTGCGTGTGTGGGTAATTTTGTTCTGATTAGGGTGTTTAATTATGTGGGTTAAGGTTATATTTTCTATTTGATTTATGATGAAAAATTAGTTATTTGATTCTGGCATTTTTTTCATTATTTGAAATGTAATTGATTTTGCTTATAATTATTTTTCTAGGAAGGCGTGCTTGATTGCCTTTTGCTTTTTATTTGATGAAAATGATGTTTCTTCATTTTTTTTCGTCACTGTTGTAGTCATCATGGATGACTCTAAAAATTTGGTGTTTGTACTTTTGCACAATCAATAATAACTTTTTGTTTCTTTGCCTCTGAGTGCTTGAAATTGTTTACCTTTTCGATGAGAGATAGAAAATATAAATGTTTATCCTTAATCAGTGCTGATTCATGTGACCACTTCCATGATACAGTGTCGTCTAGAATTTTATCCTGTTGTTGTGTCATTAATTTATGGGCAAATTTGAAGTGAATGAAGCTATCCACGTATGAGTTTTCAGTTGATGTTCTAATTTTCTTTGGGTTAGCTTGCTTTTAGATGAAAGTGAACTGAGTTTTCAGTCTGGTAGGTATTGAAGTGCATGAAGAAATAGCGGAGCTGGGGATCGATAGAAAAGCTACTCGCCATGGTTTATATATTTTCTGCTTATAGTCTGTTGAATTTTGGAGAGAAGTTTTAGGTATTGTTGTGGAGTGCTCTGATTGCAAACATGGGTTACAATTGTGATTTCTGTGCCCATCAAAGGACGGTGGTATATTGCCGGTCGGATGCTGCCTGCTTATGTTTGTCATGTGATCAAAATGTCCATTCTGCTAATGCACTGTCAAGACGCCATTCGAGAACACTGTTATGTGAGAGATGCAATTTGCGACCTGCTTTTGTTAGATGCGCAGAGGAAAGGATTTCCCTATGCCAGAACTGTAATTGGATAGGTCATGACACCTCTACCTCGAATTCGACACATAACAGGCAAACAATTAATAGTTACTCTGGTTGTCCATCATCCGCTGAACTTTCTTACTTATGGCCATTCTTTTGGCAGTCCCCTTCACCGGCTGAATCTACTGGTAAGCAGGAAGTAGGTCTAATGAGCATCCCTGAGAATATGGAGAGGACTTCCTGGAGCCCTACGGGAAACACCATTAGCCAGAATCAGAATAATAATGGTGTTGCAGAAGCCAATAACGACAATAATGTTGACATGGGAAGTGGTTGGGAAGGGTCTTCTTCAATTCCGGAAATTAGATCACCACCACGAGCTCTAGATCAGCCAGCTGGATTAACTGATACATCATTGCCCAAGGTAAATGATGAATTTGGAATATATTTATCATTAAAGAATCTAGATCAACTGTTATTAAGGTACTTTCAGTCCCTTGTTATCCAAATTTCATGAGACAGCATTAAAGAAATATGATTAAGCATTTTGATAAAGAGGGTCTATGTATGCAAATTTATTCTGCTGTTGTGCTCTACGTTGAAAAACAATAACATTGTGTGCTCTGGCCTCAGTGATAAATGCTCTTTCTGCATAGAAACGAGCTTGAGGCTTAAGTGACAACATTTTCTTCAGATTAGTTCCTTATGCACAAGGAATTTATGCCAAATTTGTTCCTTTCTTGATTGTGCTTTATAGTGGAAATCAAAGGACCATCTAAATTATCTTTTAGATCAACTTTAGTTTTAGGTTTATATTGCAGAGAACAATTAATGAGGTCCTTGGTCCTCAGAATATGATTACTTAATCAATAACCTCATCTTTATTATATGACATCTTTGCCTATTTGTGCCATGGGTTTCTAAATTGGGATCATATGCTAATGCCGCTTGTCTACTTGATTGTAGTTTTTCTTTTTTAATATTTATATATATATGAGTTAGGATCCACTTACACTGTGTAAAAATGTTTTACATGTTTTTTGGATCATTAGATTAACTGAGTTTAATGGCTTAGATTAAAGCTTTAAATTTGAGGATAATCTACTTCATTTTTTCTCATAAAAATATCTTCCCTTTCTACTGCTGATCTTAGCCATCCATTTTTACTCATCCAATGATCCAAAAAAAAACGTGTAAAACTTAAAAGCTTTACACTGTATCAACGGATATATTGATAATAGAGGGGGAAAGGCAGTTTAAAAGCAATTGACTCAAGAAATAGGGAAAGTGCAGTGAGATCATCTTGGAAGTTATCGAGATTTCATTTTAATCATTAAAAGAGTGATTAGAATAATATAATTCCATTTTGGGAACATTTGCTAATTTTTGCTTTATTAAATTTGCAGTTATCTTTCCCTCCAACAAAGCATCCTTCACTTTGTGAAAATGATCTCTGCGATGACTTCAACATGGATGATGTTGATCTGAACCTTGAAAATTATGAAGAACTCTTTGGAGAAACTCTCGATCACTCTGAAGAACTGTTAGAGAATGGTGGAATTGATAGCATATTCAAGATGAAAGACATGTCGGCTGCTGATTCCAACTGTCGGGGTTCTGTGGCTGCTGAGGTTCTTTCTTCTCTTTTGAACTTTCTCTGTGGTGTCTGAATTGTCTTTTTTCCCTCTCATTTTTGTAAATGGGAGTATTCCTTGTTGAATTTAAAGACAAAAGTTATTTGATGCTGTACTGAGAAGCTTTATTTTGGTGAATGTGGCACAAGTTCTAGTTTTTGGAAATGTACAAGTTCTGTCTGTTGTAATTGCCCTTTTCTACTAGATTTTCTTTACAGTTAAGTAACGACAATTTTATTTTGGCGGTGTATTATAGCATATATAAAATTGCTTTCCCAACATATACCAAAACAAAGTTTAATATCCTTCTACTTCAGCATCTTCCTTTTTCAGTTTTCATTGTGATCAAAGGCACATGTCCCTTTTTATATGGGGCAGTACTCTCTACATGCAAACATTAACTTAAGAAATGATTACTGTAATGAGAGGAAGCTTACTGTCCTATTTGCCGAGTATTTATTTTGTGTTGTACTTGTATATGGCATGCTTGTTTTATATTCCTTAGGAATCACACATTCCATAATTCCAGCCCCCGAGAATTTCAAGTTCATGGCAAATGTTCTCATGGTCGATGACTAAATATTATTCTTGTACAGGGCTCATCTATTGGTCTGGTCAACACAGTCCAGCCTGCATGCAGCAATGGGGCATCTGCCGATTCCATGATGGGCAATAAAATCGATTCAATTATTTATTTTGCTGGAAGGAAGGCTCATTCAAGCCTATCATTTTCTGGCCTTACCGGAGAGAGTAGCGGAGGAGATTACCAAGATTGTGAAGTTTCACCAATGCTTCTCATGGGAGAGCCTCCCTGGTGTCCTCCATGTACTGAGAACACCTTCCAATCATCTACTCGATGCAATGCTGTAATGCGTTACAAGGAAAAGAAGAAGACACGAAAGTAAGTATATGCCAATAACACATATAAGAAAATGTGCTGCCTTATATGATAATTTCTGGTTCCGAGGATGTTGATTTACCACAAACAAAGTAGACAATCATGTCTTGATTCTTGTTTCTCTGCTACAATTTCTAGCTTTTCTTCATGTGGACCTTTTTCATTTGCCTTCAAGTATCAACATAGCTGTGTGCAATTTTATACAAGGAGCAGCAGAACTGACATGATGATTCCAAATAATTTGAAATCATTTTAACATGTGTGTTCTTAGTAGTATAATTGTTTCTCGGTATCGTAATCAGTAAATAGTGCATATTAGTTAGTATTCCTGCCATTGAAGAAGTTCAATGTGGATCTGCATTCCCTATGAATCTTCATCTGTGTATATTTTATCAACAATCCATTCCGAAAGTTGAAGTAAAATCGGAACTGTTGGTCTTGATGTTTTATTCCACCCATTGGAGGAGTTTACATGTTTAACTTTTGTCCTTGTGATAGGTTTGAGAAGCGAGTGAGATATGCATCTTGCAAAGCAAGGGCCGATGTGAGAAAGCGTGTGAAGGGACGCTTTGTGAAAGCCGGTGATGCCTATGATTATGATCCATTGAACTAAACCTGAAGCTGCTGGTACGATTCTTTTAAACATGCTTTGTTAGCTGGAATGAATTGGCTTATTTCAAACTAATTAAAGTGACAGGCCGCGTGGTTGTATTACAGCGCTGTCAGTTTTTATCAACACAAAAACACCATGAATAAATCCCAAGGCCTAGTTCTTTATCACCATAAAAAAAATATCAACGGATCGTGAGATCAATTGGCAAGATCTGCCTGCCACCATGATCAAGCAAGTTCACCTGCTCGTTTCACTAGAATGGAAAGGACGACAGATGCACACTGTTGTCCTCCGAGACAAATTTAAGCTCAGTGTTGGTTCCGTTGACAAATATATCTACCTTCAGCTGGTTCCCAGCGTTTTTATAAAAGCCGCTGCTGTCGCTGCCATTGGAATTTGGCATGCTAAGCCGGCCGGACTGATGTCGAGTCACGGGCAAAAGCATGCAGCAGCTTTAATTTTGATCTTCGTTTCTATTGTTTTTTTTTCTTTCCTTTTTCTATTTAAATGTATAGCAAAGTTCTTAGTTTGTATGCGCAGTTGTATTAATGGCCATTGTCCATTGCACTTGTAATTTTCTCCTCTTTTCTAGTGGAAGTCTCCCGATGATAATTATGATACAAATTATAACCACAGGAAGCAGATTTATCATAAATTGATCACTCGTTAATCGGCAATGCACAATTACTATCTCCTTGACAGCTTACCTAGCAAGTTGACCAATCGTATCTTTAATTTTAAATAAAAACCCATTCCTGTGACCACCACAACTACCTCAGCACCACCTGTGACCACAACCCTCAAGAGCAGTTCACTGCCCCTCGTGCCTCAACAAATGCCTCGCTATTCCCGAGCCTTCTGCTGCTGCTGCTGCTACCAGGCCCTCCCGAAATCTTGTAACCGATCTAGAAAACCTCTCACAGTTATCAGAGATTTTAAGAGTCAATGTCCATATTAACTTGGGTTTATGGGATGTAGGAGCAGGTAACTCAGAATTTCCATCTTTCGCTAATCAAAGATGTTAAAAATTAGATAATCATCCCAATTTCACAGTTCCTTAATCCTCTTCATTGATTTTTTTTTTCAGTTTTAGAGAATAACTTGCTCCATTATTCCAAGAATTGAAGAATAGTACAGCAAAAATTGGTAGGAAAGACTCCCATTTCAATGCTGATTATTGTGCGAACAAACTAAACGATAATATCGGTTACGCGTGACTTATGCTGTTATTAAAATTCATAATTATGGGCATGTATTTATAATTTACACAGAGGGGTTCATTAATCGGTTTTAACCTATTAACTCGATTGAATTAAAAAAAATCAGATTAATTAGTCGGTTTATTTTATGTTTGGTCATTTAATGGTTAATGATTTTTTTAAAAGTTTGGTTAATGGTTAATGATTTTTTTAAAAGTTTGGTTAATGGTTAATTTGGTACGAAGTTGATAAATTAACCGAATTAACTAATTTTTTTTAATTTTTAATATATTATTTATATTAATTATATATAACTTAGCTCTAGGAGCATTTAAATTTGGATTTTAACCGAATTAATTAAAAATATTTAATATTTAATATATATTATTTAAAATTTCAGTTAAATCATTTAACAAAATTTTGTTTGGTTCTATTAAAAAATTTTGAAATTTTTGGCTCGATTAATGATTAAATGTAAACAAAATTCGATTTTAATGATTTTTTGCCAATTCAATTTGATCGGTTAACCGAATTGATCTATTGAACACCTCTAAACGTATATTGTTACGATAAACTATGACATAAATTAACAATTTCTACGCTGTCGTCTCTAATTACGATAAAAAGAAGCTTACCGATGGGAGGTTTCCGGTATTTTCTCGACTACCGGACTCATAAAGAATGAGATAAAAGCTTCCTTTTATCGTAACATAGGGATTATTATTTATTTGAATAAACTCAAGTACCGAATCTGAAATGATTTAAATCGAAACATAAAATAATATTTAATTATTCAACAACAAGAAGGTAATTATTCAGTTAAATCTAAAACAATAATATTAATTATTCAACAAGAAGAAGGTAATTATGGTACCATCTTAGATTATGGCCCCTCCTTTTTGTTGCATAAAATGATTGTCAAGACGAAATTATTGCATTATGTTGCATTTTGCTCCACAACATGTTTTAATTGGTCTTCATGTCTAAAATGGAAGTCTCACAACCATCCAGAATAAAATAGTAGTTGGACTGGATGGTTACTTTTTGTTATAATTTTTTTTGGGTAAACTATGCATTTAACACCTAAAAGATTAGTTTTGGTCCATTTTATAATTTAAACTTTTAACTTTTTCAAAATCATACCTAATATTTAGTTTTTGTTTTATTTTAATACCTCATCGTTAGAAACTTAACGCGTTTAGTACCCAAACTATTAATTTTGGTCCATTTTCGTACCTAAACTTTTAATTTTTTTTCAAAATATAACGTTAAATTTTGAACGAGATACTAAAATAAAACAAAAACTAAACTTCAGGTATGATTTTAAAAAATTTGAAAGTTTATGTGCTAAAACAAACTAAAACTGATAATTTAGGTACTCAACACTTAATTTACCCTAATTTGTTTTTAAAATTAAAATCAAATGGCTTAATACCGAAACAAGTGCCCAAACTAGCTTTTCTCAAATAGATGTCTAAACTATTTTTTGACTCATTCAAGTGACTATTAATATAAACATTACCATTTTAGGTGTCTGATAATTCAAACGTTATCACTTTAGGTGTCTCGGTTCTAACGACCGTTAAGAAAGCCCGTTAAGTAACACGTGTCACAATCTGATAATTTAAAAAAAAACTTAATTTTTTTTGAAAAATCCCCAATTTTTTTTTTGTAAAATATAAAAAAAATCAAACACTTAAAATCTCTTATTTTAGTCTTATTTACTCCAACCATCGGTCATTTTCGACCATCCATTTATAGTTGGCATGCCACCCATACGGCGTCGACCACCCACTAACTGGTTACAACTCTTAATTTCATATCGAACTCTAAAATTCTCAAATCCTTAAATTTCAATCCCTAATCTCTAATCTCTAAAATCTCAAATACACAATACCTTAAATTTATTTGATCAATCGTGGTAATCAAATGTTTAGCCGATTATGAAAATCAACTATTTGATCGTCGTTTAATCAGCCGTTTGGCCTTAACGGGTGAAAGGAGGGGCACACGGAGAGGCATAGGGAAAGGGTGTTTTTTTTAATAATATTTTAAGTTTTATAAGAAAAATAAAATTTTAAAATAAATTTTTTTTAACGGACGATAGAATCAAGACACTTAAAATGATAACATTTGTAACATCAGACACCTAAAATAATACTACTTGTAACGATAAACACATGAATGAGTTAAACAATAATTTAGACGCATATTCAGAAAAAAAATATAATTTAGAAATTTATTTGGGTATTAAGCCAAATCAAATCCATAATTAAGTACTTATCTTATTATTAAAAAATATTTTTTTCTGATTTCTATTTAGCGTACGCTTCTGCATTCAATTTCTGAACCAGGCTTATCTATAAACCCTAACCCCCTTTCGATACATCCCTTTGATCGCCATAGTTCTCAAAATAATTGCTTCCATGGTTTCCAGAAGAGGCAACGACAATGATGGTGCTAGCCCTGGGTATTACAATTTTCTACCCTTCTTCTCTTCGTTTTCTCTTTCCAAAAATTTCTTTAATAGTTTTCCCACTCTTTTCTTGTACAGGAAAATATTTATCGGAGGCTTAGCTAAGGATACATCTCTAGGTGATCCGAGCTTTCATTCTTTTCTTTTTTTACTTTATTTGTTTTCCTTTGATGGGTGTTTTTCAATTTACTGAACTTTGCTTTGGTTTCAGAGACATTTACAAAGTACTTTGAAAAGTACGGGGAGATTACAGATTTTGTTATAATGAAAGATCGGCATACGGGTCGGCCCCGTGGTTTCGGGTTCATTACCTTTGCGGATCCTTCTGTTGTTGACACTGTTATGCAAGAGGATCATCTTATTAATGGCAAGCAAGTAAGCTAAAACTTCGACCTGAATCTTATTAAAATAACGTTGTTATTGTATTTCAAGATTCTGCTGTGCTGGGTTCTTTAGATATTTTAGTCGGGTTCGAGTACGAGCTGAGGTGAGCAAGACTGAGTCGAAAATCTGATTTTTTTTACTCAATTCGACGATAAAAAAACTTGATTTGACTTGACTTGTAATTTCACATAAAATTTGAATTATAAAATAGTAATCGGAAAATTCTGAATTTTTTAGAAATAAGTAGATTGATTTTCAATTTGGAGTTAAGTCTCTCAAATTTGCACTATATATGTATATAGTATATGGTTATAGAAAAACTAGACTCGTCTCGAATTTCATAAATTCGACTGAAAAAATTCCAAATAAAGTTTGAGTTATAAAATAAGACTCATCAACTCGACTAGCTTGAATTTTTTTTCACTCGACTAGATTGAATACTCACCACTGGGTACAAGTTTTGGATGAGTATGTGTCTAGTGCTAAGCTTCTTAGTGCTAGTTGCGGTGGTAAACGGAGGAACAAGTGAAATGTTAATCATCTGTATGTGATGCTTAACAAGTGAGGGCAGTGTTGTTACGGTGGAATTTGCTTTATTGTAATTTTTGTAGTTTCACTGAAAAGTTGGATTGATTTGTGGGACTTTTTAAGTTAAGTGTTTATGAATCACAATATTGTATGGCGGATTTTTTTTTGGTGCAGGTCGAAATTAAAAGAACCATCCCTAAAGGTTCTTCGCATTCAAATGAGTTTAAGACCAAGAAAATATTTGTTGGCGGGATTCCGACATCCGTTACTGAAGGTCTAATATTTGATTATACACGTTTTTTTTGTAACATTGAGTGTTAATAATTTATTTTTGTAATTGGTTTTTGAACCTTAGATGAGTTCAAGAATTTCTTCTTGAAGTACGGAAAGGTGGTGGAACATGAGATAATACGTGACCATGCAACCAAGCGATCTCGAGGCTTCGGGTTTATTGTATTTGACAGTGAAAAGGTGGTCGATGATATGCTGGCCGATGGGAACATGATAAATATGGAGGGTACTCAGGTGAGTGCACAATCTGATGTAAACAGATATGTATATATTATTTGCAGTGAAACGATTATTGTTATTCTCGAGTTAACTTCTCTTGGTTTTAAGAGAAGCTTTTCCAACTTTCAATTTACCTGAGTTTGCCGCAGGTTCATTGTTGTTATTTAGTATTTTCTTCTCAAGCCTAGATTGATTTACTTCTTTGTTGTAGGTTGAAGTTAAGAAGGCTGAACCAAAGAAAGCCTCAAACCCAGCACCTGGTCCTGCATATGGTAGTGACTCTAGTGCACGCTCATACAATGATGGTTTTGGTGGATTTGGTGATTATGGTGGTTTTGGTGGTGATGGCGGTTATGGTCCTCCTCCTTACAGATCTTTTGGAGGTTATGGAAGTAGATTTGGAGATTATGGTGGTTATGGTGGTGCTGGTGCTGATTTTGATGGTAGTTACGGGGGATTTGGTGGGGGTGGTGGTTTTTATGGTTATCGTGGAGATCCACCATTCGGTTATTCTAGCCGCTTCGGTTCCTATGGTAGTGGGCTTAGTGGCAGTGGTATAGGTGGATATGGACGTGGAGGTGGTAGCTATGGACGTGGAGGTGGTGGCTATGGAAGTTACGGTGGCTCAGGCTCAGGTGGTAGTTATGATTCAGCCCCAGGTGCTGGTTTTGGTGGTCCGATGTATGGTAGTAGAACAGGATATGGAGGCGGTAGTCGATATCATCCTTACTCAAGGTAGAACGCGATTAAAGATCATCCGTAGGAGTTGCCCCAGGTTTTCAAAAATTTCACCATTTCCCGTCACATGGTTCGATAGGCACTGTACACTTTTGGAACTTGGCGCTATCTAGAAGATCCGAGGACCTAGTAGACCGATCCATTGCTTAGAGAACCCAAGATTAATCATCATCAACATAGGGCTTCTCCTGCTATCATTTGCTTTAAGTTTCGTTTTCCCTTTTCGTTGTAGTTGTGGACTTCTATCTTGCTTTGAGCTTTGGTTAGAATCACTTTCGAGGTTTGGATGTAACATTTAGGCAACTAGTAATTATACGCCAGATTGTTGATCACATAGAGAGCTTGTTGCAATTTTAAGTTTATAGTTTTTTCTTGGCATGTGGATCTCAAATCGTAGGTAACTTTCGCTAGTAGCCGATGCATTACAGGTAAATCAAACTAACTCTATTTAAATTTTCTAGTACACCACATACTGCTGAACCGCATTTTAGCGTAGATGGCGTGAAATGTTGAATAGATGTAGATAGGTTTTAGTTGGCTGGCTTACATATTTTGGGGGGATGCATGTAAGTTGGATTTGTAAATATGCTTGTTGTGAAACTCCTTTACTTAGCCCATTTATATCATTGTTTAGTAGCAGTACTGATTAAATCTAAAGCATTCTTTGTAAATAGTTTTATGACCATAAATTGTAGAGCTGTGGAAACAGATTGGTTTTGGCCCCAACTCTTCTTCTTCTCCGGTTTATCGCTTTGAATGGTTGTTGAAAATTCAAACTCTTTCTGTGATCCGAACTGTTAAAAGATTCTCGAATTATGTTCAAGCTCATCAGTTTCTCCTATGGATTCATTGTTCATCAGTCATTGTCCACGAATCATACGTCACCCATTTCTTTAGGTTTTTACATGAAACTTTTGGGATGATTATAAGATATATCCAATGCTTATACCCAATTCGTGGCTCTCGATATATCCATTTTGTCATTGTAACATGAACACATGGGTAGGATCATCAACCCATGTCCTTCAAAGCCAAGCAAAGTATAGCTTTCTCGGTTGGACTACTATTAATCTCAGGAATCGATGTGGGATTAGGTTTATGAACAATACCGTTCTCTGTAGGTTATTTCCCAACCTAAAATTCAGTAACCTTTATCTCGTTTACTTTAAGAGAGCCAGTTTATCGGAGCAAATTATGGTGGCTGAGCCAACGGTTTCACCGAGAGTTTTTGTACTATATTGGGATGACAATTTAACTTGAATCTGACAAATCCGATAAGGTAAGACTTTTATTTTAAAAAAAAATCAGGTTCGGTATAGTTGGGTTGGATTTTTTAAGGGTAGAGGTTGGGTTGGGTGAAGGGTGAATTTTAACCCGATTCGAGGATAATAATGAAATTTTTTAAAAAAAATTGTTATTTTTCAATTAAATTCTTATTTTAAATTGGATTGGGTTAAGTTAGATTTATACTATAAAAAGTTGGGTTGGAGTTAGGTGGAGGATATAAAATTTTTAGGTTGAGTTCAGGTAGATGATATATATTTCTAGGTTGGATCGGTTGATAAAAAATAAGATAGTAACCCGAGCCGTTACCATCCCTAACTATAATCCTTTTTTTAACTTTACTTATTCACTCTTTTATCTTAGTCGAGATTAGGGTTCATTTAGTAATTGAAAACCCACTAAAGAGGATTTTTATGGGAGTTAAAGGGTTATTTATTTGTGATTGATATGATTAAATGATGTCAAGCTTAGTTTTTGAGGCACAAGGCATACTAAGACGGAAAATGTCCCAAGAGCTTAGGCGCAAGGCGTAGGCGCGCGCCTTTTATATGCGAGACGTTAAAGATTTATAAATAAATTCTGGACATATCTACATCTATTATTTCCTAGTTCACTCATGAAACACTTCAATTCTTCTCCACATTCTATCCCATCACAATTGCTTATTTCATCCTCAAGATTTAATTTTTAAATGATACAAATTAATTTTATTATCAATTTAAAATCTAAATATAACTTCAAATTATTATAAAAAAATTAATTTTTATGTTTTCAGTTAAAATTTTCCCCGTAAAAAAAAACATTGCGCCTTCGCCTGCATAGAAAAATGCCGCAAGCACATGCCTCTACCTCAGGAGGCGATTTTTCTAACGCCTGCCTGTGCCCGACTTTTAAACGCGACTTTTAAAACCAAGATGTCAAGTAAGGGGTTGTTTGTTTGGCACTGAATGTTGAACCGTTCAACATTCAGCATGCTTGTTTCTCACCTCTGAATGAAGATTGTGCTAAATGATTCAGCAAAACAGTGTTGAATAATTCAACAATGAAGACTGTGCTGAATGATTCAGGGCTAATTCATAAAGAGTCTCTGAATCATTCAGGCTATTGAATCATTCATCGCTTAATCATTCTGAAGTAAACAAATAGTATCTAAGTCAAATATGATTGAGTGCTCGGTTTGTAATATAATAAAATAAAGTCTGTGATTATTTTGCAATTTTTGGAATGTTGTGAAAAAATTACTCTTATTAAATATGATTGAGTGACCGGTTTGTAATAAAAATAAGGTGTGATTAATTTGTATCTTTTGAAATGTTGGTGAAAAAAATACTCTTATTTCATTGATTATTTTTATGGTTTATCTTTAGATTTATTGAATTATTATAAAATGATACTAAAGTACAAAGTTTTCGAATTATTATAAAAGAATTAAATTTATCGAGATTTATTAATTTATATAATATTTCAAGAATTATTTTAAATGATTTAATAAATTTAATGATTAGTTTATAAATTTTTAAAATTTAATAATTAAAAGTTATTTAGGGTAAATTATCAATTTTAGTCTTATTTAATACCTAAATTTTTTTTTTAAATCATTCTTAAAGTTTAGTTTTTATTTCATTTTAATACCTCGTTCAGAATTTAATGTTAAGTTTTGGAAAAAAAAGTTAAAAGTTCAGGTACTAAAACAAATCAAAATTGATAGTTAGGTACTAAACACTTAAGTTTTAAACGATAGGTACTAATATCTTAAGTTTTTAACGATGAGATACTCAAATGAAATAAAAATTAAACGTTAGGTATAATTTAAAAAAAATAAAAGTTTAGATACTAAAATAAATCAAAATTGATAGTTTAAATATTAAATAAATACTATTCCATTTTATAATAACTGCATTTAGGAGTGTTACGGGAGTCATCAGGTGGCTAACTTCAATATTAAAAGATATTTTTTTTATTGAAGTCACTTTTTTATATTAAAAAGATGAAATATTCTGAATTACAATGAAGATTTAGAATTATAACGTAAATTAACCATGAAATCAAGAACGAATTATCGAACTATTGAAAGATCACCGACAAATCACAAATCAAAATCGAGTGACGTGAAAAACTATCAGCGAAAGCAGATCAAGTCCAAAGTAGGAAAGATAACATGATAATAAATAAATCTTGATTAGTTGTAGCAAAATGTTTTCTCGATTAGCTAAGCATTCCTTAGCTCTTTAACTTCCGGTTCTGGATTCTTTCATGGGATTGACTCAGATTAGGGTTTTGGTTGATTCAATGTTTACGAGATCTGACTAGTTTTTCCTTGAAAGGAACGAATTTAGGGGTTGTTTTGATAAGCGTTGAGTTCTTAGATGTTGAACTCAATTTGGACTTAAATTTTTTGTCAATTGAGTTGGGATCACCATTCATGAACTAAAAATATGGATTAAAATTTTCCCAAAACTGTTTTTTGGTCACATAAGTTGTATCATATTCATATCTATAACACTGACTGTTTTGAATGTTCTCTTTAGTGATGGTATGTATGATTTTTGTTTTACATGGAACGATTTTATTGGAATAGTATTGCATGCTATTTGTTATGAGGTATTTAATTTCAATAATTATGCTTTTTTTATATTAAAAAAAAAAGAGAACTGTTTTCTTTCTCTTTAGAAACAACTTTTGAAGAGTAAAAAACAAATTTAAAAATCAAGCAGCAATTTACCAGGAAACTTAGTATTACGTGCTTATATTTTGATTATTGTATATTCCAAGTTGTGCTAGTTGATGGTTCAATTTCAGAGCTTTTATTCGCAGATTAATCAAGATTTATATTGATGGGAAAATCATCTGGTTCTAATATTAACCATCAGCATTCATCCAAGATGTTTCCCCCACGTCAACAACCACGGTCAGGGAGCTTACATACTTCATTGTCCTTAGTCTCCTCAGATCCTCGCTTGTCACCTGATGCCCATAAACACAGATCGAACTCGGATAACGTTCTCGAGTCTCCTAATGAGAGTGCTAGCTCACGAGAAACTTGGCATACTGCTGATGCTGTCGCACCAAAGGAGATTGAAAATGTGAAGATTGAAAATGATTGCCTTGAGCAGTCTGTTATCCGTCGTGTTTGTAGTGCTGATAACTCTTCGAGATATTGCTAGAGAAAGAGTTGATGTTATATCAGAAAAGATGCAACACCTACCTGATGAGTATATAGATGAGTTGAAGAATAAGGCTATCCTAGAAGGCAATGGTGGTTCACAGAACAGGGAAGAGTTTTTTATTCTTCAGAAGTATGTTCAAAGTAGATCTGATTTAACGGCAAAGACATTGATTAGAGCACACCGGTCACAGCTTGAGATTCTTGTTGCAATAAATATGGGAATTCAGGCATTCTTGCATCCAAACGTCAGTCTATCCCAAACTTCTCTCATCGAGGTATTTGTCTACAAGAGATGCAGAAATGTAGCATGCCAAAACCAGCTACCTGCAGATTACTGCACCTGTGAAATATGTGCCAATAGGAATGGCTTTTGCAATCTTTGTATGTTTGTTACCTGCAACAAGTTTGATTTTGAAGTAAATACCTGCCGCTGGATTGGCTGTGATTTGTGCTCCCATTGGACTCATACTGATTGTGCTATTCGTGATGGGCAAATCTGCATGGGCCCTTCGGTTAAATGTGCAGCAGGTCCTACTGAAATGCTCTTCAGGTGTGGTGCTTGCAATCAACCATCCGAGCTTTTAGGTTGGGTTAAAGATGTCTTCCAGCATTGTACTCCAGCCTGGGGTAAGGAGGTTCTTATGAGAGAACTTGATTTTGTGCAGCAGGATATTTCGTGGAAGTGATGATCCTAGGGGGAAGAAACTCTTTTGGAAGTGCGAGGATCTTTTAGAAAAAATGAGGGGTGGACTTGCAGAGTCTGCAGCTTGCAGATCGATATTAGTATTTTTCCAAGGTACAATACAAGCTAGTTATTTAATCATCATGCAAAATATCATGTGAATTTTTTTCTTGTTATATGGTAAAAATTGCCTGGTGAA